AACAGCATTCTGAATGTTGGCGGTGGGAAGGAAAACCCTCCTCCCACCCCAAGTCTTCAGGACAGCCATCCGATGCCGGGCTGCGGGAGGAGGCGTTCCCCCCCCGCCCGGCATTGGAGCTTCGTTCCGATGTCCGGCGGCGGGAGGAGACGTTCCCCCCCCGCCGGACATCGGAGCTTCGTTCCGATGTCCGTTGGAGGGAGGAGACGTTCCCCCCCCCGCCGGACATCGGAGCTTCGTTCCGATGTCCGTTGGAGGGAGGAGACGTTCCCCCCCCGCCGGACATCGGAGCTTCGTTCCGATGTCCGGCGGCGGGAGGAGACGTTCCCCCCCCGCCGGACATCGGAGCTTCGTTCCGATGTCCGTTGGAGGGAGGAGACGTTCCCCCCCCCGCCGGACATCGGAGCTTCGTTCCGATGTCCGTTGGAGGGAGGAGACGTTCCCCCCCCCGCCGGACATCGGAGCTTCGTTCCGATGTCCGGCGGCGGGAGGAGACGTTCCCCCCCCCGCCGGACATCGGAGCTTCGTTCCGATGTCCGTTGGAGGGAGGAGACGTCCCCCCCCCCGCCGGACATCGGAGCTTCGTTCCGATGTCCGTTGGAGGGAGGAGACGTTCCCCCCCGCCGGACATCGGAGCTTCGTTCCGATGTCCGGCGGCGGGAGGAGACGTTCCCCCCCCGCCGGACATCGGAGCTTCGTTCCGATGTCCGTTGGAGGGAGGAGACGTCCCCCCCCGCCGGACATCGGAGCTTCGTTCTGATGTCCGGCGGCGGGAGGAGGTCCGAGGACAGTGGGGAAGACGCGCTGTGCTTCCCCGCTGTCCCGGAGATTTCCCTATGGGCTGTCGTCTTGCGAAGCAAGCCCATAGGGAAATTCGTTTTGCGAAGCGCCTCCAAAACGGAAAACCCTTTCGTCTAGCGGGTTTTCCGTCTTGCGAGGCGTTCGTCTTGCGGGGTACCACTGTATAAATTTCATGAAACAAATGAAATAAACAGGGAGAGGGAAGAGCTTTGGGTCATTATTAACATGGATGGGAACTTATTCTCATAATGTTTAATTGGTTGGTGAAATTGGAAGCCACAAGATGCGGCAAGGACGACAGGCTTGACCGTTTGGAACGGGGGTCACGTCTCTTCACAGGAGGAGGAGGAGAGTATCTCTGGTTATAATCAGACCTGGCTGTCTAGAGCTTCCAGCTAGAGTCTAGCATGGGAGGCACCTGCAAGAGGACAGGCCACAGGAGTGGGCTGTTGCTGGTGGGCTTCCTGGAGACATCTGCTTGGCCTTGGCTCTGGGTGGAAGCCCCTTATCCGGCTATGCCATATCCCTTGCTATATCCAACGCTCCAGCCCAAAAGGAAAGAGAAGCATTGCCAGACATTCAAGGGCTGCTCTGGCATCATCTTCTTAGGAGAAGCCCTGCCCCATCCTGGAGAGTGAGGAGACCCCTAGGAGGGACCTCCAGTCCCAAGGGGTCCCAGAAGAGGAGCAGAACCTGAGGGAGGTGGTGGAGTCTTCCTTGGAGTCAGAGAGACCCCCAGGAAGGGGGAGAAGGCCGTTGGTGTTGGGCAGGTGGAGAGATGCAAGATGGAGCCAGGCAGAGGTGTAGCAGTTGGAGGGCTGGACTAGGAGGATCTGGGAGAGCAGGGTTCGAATCCCCACTCAGTTATAAAGCTCCCTGGTGGACCTTGGGCCAGCCTGGCCTACTTGGCAGGGCTGCTGTGAATATAAAAATTGGTGGCCGGGAGAAACCATGAAGGCCACCTGGAGCTCCTGGGAGGAAAGTGGGCTATGAATGTCATAATAAATGATGAGAGAAGAGAGAAAAGGGGAAGGCAGGGGAAGATTGTGGAGGAGCTGAGCTCTCTGGAGAAGACTGACCGGATCTTCAGCATCTATCATTGATAGGTGTTCTGTGGTCTTATGCAGCCATAACTTGTGAAATATAACATCCAGCACACCAGCTGTGCCTAAGTTCTGCTCCAGATGTGTTGCAATCCGCAGTGTGTGCTCTGTGTGGAGGAATCTCAGGCATGCAGAAAACACTCAGCATGCAGCTTCTTCCTAATCTATGAAGCTTTATTTACAGCGGCATAATAAATCAGCAGTCCGGGAGAGTGAGCAGACATTGCTGTCTCTCCTTTGGCAGCAAAAATGAAAGTAACTCATCTCACATAACAAAGCATAGAACCCCATATGTGACACACCCCCAGGGACAGGACATCACTCCGTGAGCTATTAACCCTGTAAGCTCTGGTTCTCCTTTTTTTAAAAAATTTTTAATTTTATTTCTGACATATACACCAACATAAAAAACCACAAACAATCCAAAAAGGATAAAAAAGAGAGAGAAAAAAGAAATAAAGCAAAATACAAAGGCACAAAAAAGTCACATAACAAAAACATTAGATTCATACTGTTTTGTTGAACTGACTTCCCTCCACCACGGTTTGAGCTGTATCCCAATGTTTTCTTCTGCAGAATCTTTTTACCACTTTTATCTCTACATCGCTGGTTTTATATTACCCCTACTGTAATTTTAATATTTCCTAAATTTGTTTCCATGTATGTAATGAATTTGTTCCAATCATTAATAAATTTGGTGTTTTTCTGATACCTGATCTTCTGTGTCATTTTTGCTAACTCTATATACTCGTAGTAGATAGGTTGCCGTGTTGGTCTGCCATAGTCAAAATAAAAAAATTCCTTCCAGTAGCACCTTAAAGACCAACTAAGTTAGTTCTTGGTATGAGCTTTCGTGTGCATGCACGAAGAAGTGTGCATGCACACGAA